AATTCAAATACGAGATGTTTTTGGAATATTTTCTGAATACATTTTGTAACAATAATTTATACAATAATTTTAAGATCATTAATTAGAATATAATTGGAATATTACTAAAATACCTAATTGCAATCAAAATATAACAACTAAAAATTTTTTATAGAAAAAAAGGATCTACTACCAATTTAATAAGCCATCTTCGTGATATACATCAAATTACTAAAGAATTATTTAAAGATAAATCATTAAAATTTAATCAACAAATAATTCAGCAAGTAATTTCAAGACTCCACTATTCCTATATGCAAAAAAAACTTACACATAAACTTGTGCATTATATAATCACACATGCTGAACCTATTCATATAGTTGAAGATAATAATTTTAGACTTTGGGCAAAAAGTCTTGATCCTTGATTTGAAATACCATGTGTTAATACAATTAAAACCATTATATTTAACTCCTATAATTCTACAATAAACCAAATTATCGATCTTATTTCAAAAACATCAGATATAGTTTCTTTAACTTTTGATATTTGGACATTATGAGCACATGATAGCTATTTAGGAATTACTTGCTACTGGCTTACAGATTCATTTGAATTGTATAAGGTTATACTTGATATAAGAGAGTTGGACAAACATAATGCATCTGATATTATTAAGTTGGTTAATTTGGTTCTTAATAAATTTAATATTGATCATTTAAAGATCTTCACTATTACTACAGATAACAATTCAAATATCAAATCTGCAATGCAACAATTGAATATTACTAATGTAAAGTGCGCTGGACATACACTTCAATTAAGTGTTAATTTGGGTTTAAAGGAAGTTGATGATCTTATTTCAAAATATAAATCACTTATTGCAATTTTGTCAAAAGAAAAAAATGTAAACAGCTTCGTGAAGCTTAATTACAAATTACTCCAAGGTTAAAACAACCTTTAAATATTATTAAAGATGTGAATACATGTTAAAATTCCATCCTTTATGCTATTGAACATTTTATGCATTTAAAACCTGCCATTATACAATTATACTCAACTCTTACTAATCATACTATTAGAGAAATTAGAAAAGGTAAGAAACTATGGGTTCTTTTATTCCTTCTACAGAAGAATTTAAATTATTAGGAGAACTAATAGAAATTCTTTTTCCTTTTAATTAAGTAACTCAATACTTAAGTGGATCCAAATACCCAATCCTTGGGTTTTTAACACCAATTTTAGAAGAACTTACTTGTCAGCTCAGGTACTTTACGGAAAAAAGTAATAAGGCTATCCTTGTTAAAGAAATAATATTAGACAATTTAATTGAACATTGGGAAGATCCAAGTGAAGTGGGCATATGATATTCCTTTCTCAACCCAAGATTTAAAAAACTAAATTTCTGCACAAGTGCTTTATGCTATTTAACTATCCAGAATATATGTTGTCAATTTAATAAACTTTGTTCAACACTAACCTCCAACAATGATATTAATGATAATTCGATTTTAGCATTTTCGCATTTATGTAAAAAATCCAAAATGTCAATATTTTTTATGTATTTATGAACAGAAAACTCTAATGTTGAATCCAATGAATTTGACTGGTATTGTTAATTGCCTGAAATTTCTCTTGATAAAGGGTCTTGCCCTCTAGAATGATGGCATAAACACAAAACCCTCTTTTCTACCATGATGATTTTTCGAGGCAATACCTTGCAGTGCCAGCTTTCTCTGTATTATCAGAGCATTTATTTTCTGACTCTGGAAACCATGTGATAAATAAGCATAATAGACTTAGTTTGGACTTATTGAATCAATTGGTATTTCTTAAAAAAAATATGAATTGTATTGACATTTTTTCTTCATTTGATTAAAACAACAGTTTTTATATACCAAACATTTTATCGAATACTTAATAAAACAATTATATATTTTATCATTAAATGGAATTTAAATTTATATTTAGAATTTTTACCTCAACTCAAACTTACAATTTTTATTACTAAGCAACAATTTATAGAATTTAACTTTATAAGTATTATATTTATATGTTCATTTATTTAAACTTTGAAATTCAAGCTTATTAATATGTATTTATCTTAAAACAGTGCTTTTTAAGTTGTTAAATTTT